TAAATAAATAAAATCTTAAAAAAGAAAAACAAAACTCTTGAAGCTTAATAATGAGACAAACAACCCAATAAAAATGGACGAAAGATTTGAAGAGATACTTCACTAAAGAGGATATAGAGATGGCAAATAAGCATATGAAAATATATTCAACAGTGTTAGTAATTACAGGAATGCAAAATAAACCACAATGAGATAATTACTACACCCTAAAAGAATGGCTAAAATGCCAAGTGTTGGTGAGGATGTGGAGCAATCAGAACTCTCATAAACTGGTGTTGAGAATGTTTCATAAATTAAGCATATGTCAACGGTATGACCCAACCATTCTACTCCTAGATGTTGACTCAAGAAGAATAAAAGCGTATGTCTACATAAAGACCTATACATGAATGTTCTTGGCTACTTTATTTGTGATAGCCCAAAACTAGAAACAACTCAAATTCCAACACCAGGTAAATGGATAAATAAATTGTGGTATATCCATGTAATGAAATACTATAAAAAAGAACAAGCTATTGATATACACATGAACATGGATGAATCTCAAAATAATTATGATGAGTGAAAGAATCCAGACCCGGGGTGCCTGGGTAGCTCAGTTGGTTAAGCGTCTGCCTTTGGCTCAGGTCATGATCTCAGGGTCCTGGGATCGAGCCCTGCGTCAGGCTCCTTGCTCAGCGGGGAGTCTGCATTTCCCTCTCCTTTTCCCTCTGCCCCTTCCCCCTGCTCATGCTCTGTCTCTGCCTCTCTCTTTCTCTCAAATAAATAAATAAAATCTTTAAGAAAGAGAGAAAGAAAGAAAGAGAAAGAAAGAAAAGAACCCAGATCCAAAAGAATACATTCTATATGACTCCATTTTAATAAAATTCTAGAAAACACAAACTGAAATTTTTGAAAGACTAATGATTATATGGGGCCAGAGGATTTGGAGAAGAATGAATTAGAAAGAGACACAAGAAAACTTTTGAGAGGAATGCCATAAGTTCATACAGTACAGCAGTCAGAAGCTACTATGGCTTTTGAATACTTGAGATGTGGCTGGTGCGACCGAGGAACTAGATTTTTAATTTAATTTTTAAAAACGATTTATGTATTGGGCGCCTGGGTGGCTCAGTTGGTTAAGCGACTGCCTTCGGCTCAGGTCATGATCCTGGAGTCCCGGGATTGAGTCCTGCATCGGGCTCCCTGCTCAGCAGGAGTCTGTTTCTCCCTCTGACCCTCCTCCCTCTCATGCTCTCTGTCTCTCATTCTCTCTCTCGCAAATAAAGAAAATCTTAAAAAAAAAAAGATTTATGTATTTATTTATTTGAGAGAGAGAGCACACATGCTTGTGGGGAGGGGAGGAGCAGAGGGGGAGGGAGAGGGACAAGCAGACACAGAGCCTGAAAAGGGGCTCGATCTCATGATCCCAAAATCATGAGTCAGATGCTCAACTGAGCCACCCAGGCACCCCTAATTTAATTTCATTTTAACCCATTTTGATTTAAATGGCTACATTTGACACATGGTTCTAGATTAAAGGAAGCTAAGCATAAAAGAAAACTAAATATAATCTCTGACCTTATACTGGATTCTATACTGGAGGAGTAAAAACACTATAAGGAACATTATTAGATCAACTGATAAGACTAGAATATGGACGGTAGATTAAAGTATTATATCAATGTAAATTTATAAATTTTACAACTATACTGTGGTTATCTAAGAGAATATATAAGAGAATATCCCTCCTCTTAGGAAGCTCACACTGTATTTGGAAAAAGGACCATGATGTATGTAACTTACCTCAAATAGTTCAGAAAGATGAACAAATGATAAAGCAGATGGGGTAAAATGTTAACAATAGGTGAATCTGGGTAGAGAGTATACAGATGTTTCTTGTACCTATATACTTGTACTTTTATGTTGGCAACTTTTTGTAAATTTGAAATTGTTTCCAAATAAGAAGCTTTAAAAAATACCTTATATGTGATTATGATATTTTTAAAAAACTTCCAGTCTTTTTGAGTGCCTGGCTGGCTTAGTCGGTGGAGCATGCGACTCTTGATCTCAGGGTCATGAGTTTGAGCCCCACATTGGGTGTAGAGATTACTTAAAAATAAAATCTTAAAAAAATAAAGAATTCCAGGCTTTTAAGGATACATTATGAAATATCTATGGACAAAATGATATAACATCTGGGGTTTGTTTCAAAGTAACATGGAATCCTAACATGAGAGGAACATAGATTGATTCTCTTAAAGCCGAATGATATGTATACGAGTTTATTATACCCTTCTGTCCATTTTTGTGTAAATTTAACATTTCCATGACTTTAAATTGAGAAGAATTGGCATTTACTTAATGTTTTTCCTTTTAAGGATATTGTGTGCCTTTCTCTTACTCATTTTGTTTCCTATGGTACAGGCTGGGAAAGCTCATTTATGCCAAATTCTTCATTATGAAAATGGTATCTGTAGGTCACATGTTCCTTAATACAATAAAAATCCTCATCACAACAAAAATATTTCTTTTATGACCCCATCAGTGGTCAACTATTTCAAGCAATTTTAAGCAGTGTTTTCAATTCCCATGATAGCAAAACCTTTGATCAAACCCTTCCATAGAAGCCACTTCCATATTTAAAAATGCTTATATAAGTAAAACGCCATTATAAAAAATTCCATGTAAACTTTTTTTTCCCTTGATCTTTTGGTTTAAATTAATGTGTACCTAGAGATCACATTCTCTGACTGTGAAGCCTTGAGAAAATCCTAGTGAAGATGATGAGTCCAGTGAAGAAATGAGAACAGTATTTTGCACTCAGGATATCTGTGCCGTTCACGCCTTCTTTTTCCCAGGATCTGGCTTCGTGTCCTATTGTTTGGCTCAGTGTGTGAGGGATTTAAGTGGGTTGGGGTTAGACTTTGGGAAGATTCATTGTTTTAATTGCATAAATTCCATAAAGCATTGAACTAAGCTCTCTCTTCCCAGCCTGTGATACAACAAACAAATGCTCCATCATACTTTTCTATTTAGGGGCTCTTACATGAACCAGGACAAGGAAAGCATCTTCACAAATTCATTTGCTGCATAAACATTTTGTGATGTCAAGGAAGTTCTCACTAGGGGGCCATATCTCTAAACATGGAAATAGCTTCATTGAGAGATCCCTTCATAGTGGGAGTGTTTGATGTTACAGGAATCTATCTGTTTAGGGAAAATGAAGACTGAAAATCCCTTGGTTTTCCGGTTAGATTTTTTGTTTCGTTCATCATTATTATGATTCTTCTTCCTCTCCAGAGATAGACTTCTGTGCCTCGTCTCATCATGGCTGCCAGCACGAGTGTGTTAACATGGGTGACTCCTATTCCTGCCGCTGCCTAAAAGGTTTCACTCTGAATCCAGATAAGAAGACCTGCAGAAGTAAGTCACCCGGGTGTAGGAGAAGGGCTTGTTCCCATAAATGCCCTGCTAAATTTCCTTTTCCTTGCAAATCTGAAGCAGGTATACTTGTACTCAGCATTTGTGTTTACTAACACTCTTCTGCCCTTGATTTTGCCTTTTGTCACTCCTGATGCTGTGATGGGGATGATTTTTTTTTTTAAAGATTTTCTTTATTTATTTGACAGAGACAGAGACAGCGAGAGCAGGAACACAAGCAGGGGGAGTGGGAGAGGGGGAAGCAGGCTCCCCGCTGAGCAGGGAGCCCGACGTGGGACTCGATCCCAGGACTCCGGGATCATGACCCGAGCCGAAGGCAGCCGCTTAACGACTGAGCCACCCAGGCGCCCTCTGTGATGGGGATGATTTTTAGAGACTGAAGGGACTGGGTCTGCCCACAGGATTCATTGAGCAGAGTCGAAACCCAAGCCAAAGCTCCAACCTTTGGGAAATGAGGGCACACACCCCCCTCCTCATTAGCCCCACAACATGTATTTGGGACTTTGAGAAAGAACAGTCTGGGCTCAGAGACAGGAGGTAAAAGGAGTTAGTTTCTTCCAGTTATACCAGATGAGATACGTGATGGCTGCTAAGCGGGGGAAATTGCTGCTCTATCCTCTTTGACATGAAGAAAGAAAAAAACTCTGACTTTGGGGCATCCCCGCAGCACTCAAGAGGTACATGGTGTCAACAGGATGAAATGAATAATGTGCTGAGTGACTCAAATGCCTATCAGCTGGCACATCAAGGGGGATCTAGAGCATGGACCCCAAATGGGATCTCTTTAAACCAGACTGTCCCTGAGAAACCACTAGAATGGAAGGTCCACAAGGACAGAGTCTTCTCTCTCTGACTCTTGAATCCTCAACACCCCAAGGGCTTGGCACATGGAGGTGTAACACAAGACTTACTGAGTGAATGATTGAAGGAATGAGTAAATGGATCTCTCTGAGATTTATCATCCTGGAGAAATTGCAACTATTATTTGAATTACTCAATCTCCTTAGAAAGATGGCCTTTTAAAACATGCAGATTGTGAACTTTTTAAAAAAAGTATTTCCATAGTCAGGCAACACACATACTGAATTGTTCGTGTTCTCCTGACAGTCTTGTTTATAGAACTTTCTGGAACCCCCTCTTAGGGGTGTATGTTCTCATGCACTTCACCCGCCTCTTCCTGGTGATATGTACAGCAGGGCTCTGCATCGCAGGCAGGACTGAATTTTCAAACGCTCGACCACGTATTTCTTTTGAAAAAGCACCGTGGGCTATAGAACTGAATCCAGACAAGCCACATTCTGCTCCCAGCACATATGGACTTAGCCACTCACTCTAATAAGCGTTAGACCTTGCACCATGGTAGATGGTTGCAGAGGCCATGTTTTGAAACTGCGCCTCTCTTATAAAAGATAATTCCTATGGCCTTGCCTAGATGCAAACCCTGGAAACATCCAAGCATTAAATAGGAATTTTCACTGAGAGCATTCAGAATGTGAAAACAATTAGGTGGAATATTTTCCATTAGACCACACATGCATTCACTAGGGTAAAGGGCCAACTTTTCTGGCCTGGCCACTCCTCTCTGCTATTTACACCTTTTTCTAGGGATAAGTGTGTTTGTGGCTGACTATACGCAGGGAAAATCAGTCACAGGTGGACTCATTTGTAGACCACATCTCTTATGCAGGGGATAATTCGATCTGGTTCCACTCAGGCACACATTGTGGTTGCAAGCTTCATGTGTATTACTAATGGAGGGAAAAGGGAACTAGTTCGGCATACGGCCAGCAGTGAAGGGGAATTTGCTTGAAGCTCTTCATCTCTTTATTTATTTATTTGCGAGAGACAGCACAAATGGGAGGGGAAGAGAGAGAGAATCTCAAACATCTCTGTGCCGAGCATGGAACCCGATGTGAGGCTCACAACCCTGAGATCATGACCTGAGCCGAAACCAAGAGTCAGCCACTTAGCTGACCACACCACGCAGGCGCCCCTGAAGCTATTCATCTCCTACCAATCATCTAGGATTCCTTCAACCTCTGCTACTCCCCCACATCCTGGAGAGGGACTTGGAGTAAGAGAAGGGTCCAAGGCAGTGGACGCATGCATTGTTATCAGGGGAGGAGGGAGGTCAAGAACAGAAGGGCGAGTGGAAAGGAGGTGGCCATTGGGAGTAGTTTGACCACCACAAATGAGCCCACACATAGGCCTGTTTGCAGGCTGTGGCCCAGTCCAGAGTCCCTAATGCTCATTCATATATGTTTAGCGATTATAGCTCCATTTCCTCTTTAGCCAGGTGTCCTACTTTTTCATCCAAGAAAAATGGAATTTGTTTCTAAAACCCCATGTCCTCACCAGCCCTTCTCCCAACTTCCTGCCTCATCGTTACATTTTCCATTGTCTATGCAGACCCAGCACTGGGCTGCTGAGGTCAGCCTCTTAGAGCCGCCCCTGACTTAATGTTTGCACTCTGTCCATTATGGCAGACAGCTGTGAACAGAAGTGAGCGCTCCCTGTCTCTCTGGAGCATTACGTGGAAGAGGGAAACAAAAAATTAGATTTAAGTCTGGAGTTTGTTATTAGGAGTTTGAAGGTCTCAAGAGCATTACAGACCTCAAGCTCAGGGTACAGCCATTTACATTTAATAGATGGTGGATGGATGTGGGCAAATTTCAAATCTAATAAGAAATCTATTTTTCAAAGGAATTTGATGTCATCCAATTAAGGTGGAAAACAAAGTTCAAGGCAGAATTCTACTAAAGAAAAGTCTCATGGCTGGATTTCTTCTTCCTCCTCATCTGGGCACAATTTCTTTTTCTGGAAAGTACTGTCATCATTTTAAAGCATAAATTATTAAGGCGGTGGTGTAAGGCACAGAAACTGGGACTGGCCTGGCTGTTGAAGTGGGGCCGGAGGGCGGAATCCCATGTGGGTGTGACCCGTGTGCTGGGCTCCAGGATTGCTCATGCTGGCCCCGTGGCTGATGCTGCCTGTCACTGGAGACATCATACTTGAAGAGCTGGGATGGCATCCACAAGGTTGGACTGAGCTGGGAGATGTGAGGGCTGGTCTTAGCAGTGTCACTCATACTGGCCCTATGACCTTGAACAGGCTACTCTCCTTCTCTGGACCTGGATTTGCTAAATCAAAGGAACATGACATCCTGCTTTAACATTGGGTAGCCTGTCCAATTTCTCTGAAATGCGCTATCCGTGCCACTCCATGGGCATTATAATTCACTGTCTGGGGTCACTACTCTTTCATGTTTTTATGTCGCACCTTCTCAGTGAAGTCTCCAGCTTTCTTGTGAGTTGGCACTTATAAGTTCTGTTTAAAATTTATTGTTTGACAGTCCCTCCAGCTGACCTCATGTGGAGCTCACAGGACCCTCTGGGCTTCACCAGGTAAAGCTACCCGCAAGCCTGGCCCACGTGTAGCACTTACAGTTGGCGAGGGGACCGAAACACATATGGGGCACATGGTAGGTACTCAATAAATACTGATGAAGTAATACACATGTGAAGAAACGTAACTCAAGCATGTAAAGAAGACCAAGATCTACAGTTAACCTTTGCGATCGGGAACCATTTGGAGAAGAGTCCGTGTTGCATTGCTGTTTGCCAGATAGCTGAGTGATCACATCTTTAAGAATCAAAATGATTTTCAGTTAGTTATTTCCTATGTAAATCTTTCTTAAAGATAATGCTGGCAGGGCGCCTGGGTGGCTCAGTCGGTTGAGTGTCTGACTCTTGATTTTAGCTCAGGTCATGATCTCAGGGTCGTGAGCTCATGGCTCAGCAGGGAGTCAGCTTGAGATTCTCTCCCTCTCCCTCAGCCCCTCCCCTCCACTTGTGTGGCTGGCATGCTCTCTCTCTGTCTCTGTCTCTCTCTCCCAAATAAGTAAATCCTTTAAAAAGAGAGAGAGAGAGATTGCTGGCTTTTAAAAAAATTGTGGTGGGGCGCCTGGATGGCTCAGTCGTTAAGCGTCTGCCTTCGGCTCATGATCCCGGGGTCCTGGGATCGAGACCCACGTCGGGCTCCCTGCTCCTCAGGAAGCCTGCTTGTCCCGCTCCCACTCCCCCTGCTTGTGTTCCCCCTCTCGCTGTCTCTCTCTCTGTCAAATAAATACATAAAAATCTTTAAAAAAAAAAAACTGTGGTAAAATACACCTAACATAAAAATGATCATTCTAACCATTTTTCAGTGTATACTTCAGTGGCATTAAGAACATTCACATTATTGTGCAACCATCACCACCCTTAAACTCCAGAACTTTGTCATCTCCCCAGACTATACCCATTAAACAATGACTCCCCATTCCCATCTCCGCCTCCCAGCTCCTGGCAACCACCATTTGATTTTCCGTGTCTCTGAGTCTGCCTGTTCGAGTTACCTCATATAAGTGGAATCATATAATATTTGTCCTTTTGTGTCTGACTTATTTCACTTCACATGATGCCTTCAGGCATCATCCACGATGTAGCATATGTCAGAATTGAATTCAAGTCCCTGCTTTTGATTCTTTTGGGTAAATATGCAGAAGTGGAATTGCTGGATCCTATGGTAATTCTCTATTTAATTTTTTGAGGAAACTCCATACTGTTTTCCATAGTGGCTGAATGCTGGCTTTTTAAAGCAGCATTTACTGAAAACCATTTCACCTTTCTCTGGGCCTGTAAGGAAGCGATTCCCGCAGACCCTCCGCTATGTGGCCCCAGACTGTAGGGCCCTTTGTACGCTGTCTCTTTGCTTGTTTTTCTTTTGTCTGTTTGTATGTGGCCAGTGTTTTATTGACAGGCCCCTTTTTCTTCATTGAAGCTCCTTGCTTGTTTCCTGGCATTCAGTTTGTTCCTCACAGGTAAGGTTGTTGATGAGTTCCGGGCTGATGAACTGAAACCACACGCAGCTGACAATATCCTGCCTCCCCTCACGCAGAAGGGATGAGTTACAGAGAATGCCAAGGGGTCAGTGACACTTGTGGTGGTGTCTCTCCTCTTCAGCCATTCCCTGTGTGTGGTGAGAGTGCTCTCTGCGTGCTCAGTCTCCTCAAACTCTGCGCACGTGGAAAGTTCCACCCCCCAGTCACCTGGGAGGGCGCATTATAGCCCCTCGAAGGGATGGTTGCCAGGCTGGCTTAGATCAGCCATGATTCATGCCTTGGGGGTCAGGGTTCTAGTCCCGAGAAGACAGGGCAATGGCTGTTGGCATGGTAACCAGCAGTGTCTGCCCACATCCCCAGGAGAAAGAACAATGCCGTTAGACAGATCCAGCTCAGCCACTAAGGGGACAGTTCCTCCAACACCAGTCTCGTGAAGACCCTCCACGAGGTCATTTGATTTCCTTTCCCAGTTCTCCATCTCCCCTATAACCTGTTCTTCATGGGGTCTTGTGACTTTAACATTTTCTACCGGGAAATGAAATGCTAATTGGCTCCTGGTAAACATGCTGCTCCCACCTGCTGGCAGAAACCCAGACTGGATGGGAGCAAATGTCTACATAGGACACAACTGTCACAACCCCCTGCCACAAAGCATCAGATGTGTCTTCTCCACTTTCTTGATATGGAGGCTGCCATGATCTCATGCAGAGCGAGATTAAGCGTTTGGACCCTTCTTAATGTAACTGCCAGGTCCTGCCTCCCCTAGCTAGCTGGATATTTTTGCACGATCAGCTTTTGTTGGCTCTGCCTTGTGCTGTCCGACGTCATTGTCAGATATCACTGCAGACAGTGGTTCCCTACGTGCTCTGAGCCCTAGTGATCAGGTTAACTGGGGAAGAAAAGACTAACTGGATTTTCCAGGTGTTTCCATCTTTCTTGAGAAGGGACAGGCTGGGAACTGTGGTCCTCAACCCATTTCACCAGCTTTTGGCCATCAAAAGGGGAAAAGACCCAAGCTGGAAGAATCCAGACTTCTGATCCCAGGTTCTCCTTCAAACCAGCTCCCAGAGAGCGGGAGCCGTCTTCTGTGTCCTATAGAGCACCTTCTTTACTGAGTATTTGCCATGAGGAGCTGACCTCACAGCCCTGGGACAAGCCCAGAGCCTGCAGGAGGGTCTGCCCTTTCTCCCCTCAGGGATCAACTACTGTGCGCTGAACAAACCGGGCTGTGAGCATGAATGCATCAACACGGAGGAAGGTTACTACTGTCGCTGTCGCCGGGGCTACACCCTGGACCCTAATGGCAAGACTTGCAGCCGTGAGTGTGCCGGGGCAAGGGGGTTCAGATGGGAGGGCACGGTTCACACATAGGCCCCGGGGCTCGCTTCTGAAGCTGCTGGGTCTCCTGAGAGCCCAATGGTCCGACAGGCTTACTCTTCCTTGCGTCAGTTTCATCACCCATAAAATGGGACTATTCGTGCTACCCACCTCACAGATTGGGTTGTGAGGATTAAAAGAACCAATACGTATAAAGCTCTTAGAAAAGTGCTGCTAAATGTCCACAATAGCCAAACTACTGGGAAGAACCCAGATGTCCATCGACAGATGAATGGATAAGGAAGAAGTGGTGTGTGTATATATATATATAATGAAATACTACTCAGCCATCAAAAAAATGACATCTTGCCATTTGCAACAACATGGATGGAACTAGAGGGTTTTATGTTAAGCGAAATAAGTCAATCAGAGAAAGACAATTATCATATGATCTCACTCATATGTGGAGTTTAAGCGAGAAAACAGAAGCTCATAGGGGAAGAGAGGGAAAAATAAAACGAGGTGAAATCAGAGAGGGAGACAAACCATAAGAGACTCTTAATCATAGGAAACAAACTGAGGGTTGCTGGAGGGGAGGTGGGCAGGGGGATGGGGTAACTGGGTGATGGACATTAAGGAGGGCACGTGATGTAATGAGCACTGGGCATCATGGAAGACTGATGAGTCACTGACCTTTACCTCTGAAACCAATAATACACTATATGTTAATTAATGGAATTTAAATTAAAAAAGAATAGTGCTGCTAAATATTAATAAGCACTCAATAAATATTAGCTAATATTATGCTTCACTGTTGAGAGCGCTGATTAAGTCAGACCTGCCAGAATCTAAAATCCAAGCATGATCACCTACTAGACATGTGGTCCCTGGCAAGGTATTTAACTTTGCCAAGCCTTGATTTTCCCATCTGTTTAGAAAAGTGGCAATAAGAGCAGTATTGATGTGCTCGAGTTAAGGGGAATTAGCAGGAATTCAGTCTCTTAGCCTGGGCCTGGCACAAGGCAAACACAATGAAAGATAATCATTCATTACAACCACGGAGCTTGGGAGAGTGACCAGTGCGGCTGCAGGCTGGGACGAGAGGCCAAAAGGGACAGACCTCTGAAAGTATGTGGGCTACCACAGAGCTGGTCTGAGGGCGGAGCTGGGAAATATGGGACTTTCTATGAAGCCTTTCTTAATTTTCTTGTGTAAGAGGCCCAACAAATCTCCATTTGGTGATGTAAATGCATGGAAACTTGCAGGCTTTGCCAGCTGGACGGTTCCGTCATGTTTTATGAGACACGATCTCCACTGGTCCAGGTCAGCAGGGGTGTGTGTGGAGGGGGGCACATGAGCACTGTGGTGGATGCCTGTGACCCTGCTCTGCTGGGAGAGGGGCTCCGTGACATGGCCCAGCACAGAAGGGGCCCTTTGTGCGGCTTTCCACCCAGCAGGCCCCACATCTGCTCCAGCTTTGGGGACAGAGATAGATTGTGAATGAGAACAGTGCAGCTGTTGAGCATTTGGACCACAAACTGCCAGAAGGGGAAGTTTCACAGATGAAGCATTAGGTACAGAGCAATCCTCAGGAAAACTTGTGCCCCTCCAGTCTGTGGAGGGAACAAAGTGCCTCCAGTAAGCTTTCTAAGGACTGATCTCGGAGGTCAAAGGACTTTTGAACCAGAAAGTTAGTGCTGCTATACACTTGCTTCTGGAAGTCTCTGAGTCCTGATGAGATGCTGGTGGGGAGCAGGAGATGCCCTGGTAAAGATGAATCTGGGTACATTCTGCCTTCTTCTAGGAGTGTGGGGTCTGCCAGCTGACAGCCCTGGCAAGTATCCCAGGACAGGCTGGGCATGACCTGGCTGAGCCCACCTGGAGCTCCAGGGGCCACGGCCTGTTCCTCCCTCCCAGCGTGCCTTGGGGGAGCCTAGAAGGGCTCAGAGTGGGGCCAGAAGAGAGTGGGCCATACTGTCTCTCTGGGTTCAAATAAGAAAGACCACTTAGCTTCAAGAAAGTATAAACCAAGCCATTTCTTCCTAGGAGTTCCCAAAGAAGGCCATGGTATCCTGGTTCCCTCAAGTACTCAGGGAGCCCCAGGCCCTAATGACAGCAAGCCTTTATGAGGTGCACACTCTGTGAGGCTGTGGTGAGCCCTTTCCAGGCACTCACACACTTTATCCTCACGGTAGCCTTAGGAAGCATCTACCATCGTATCTGAGTATCATCTGAGTAGTCGTATCATCTACAGTCGTATCTATTTAAAGACAGGGAGCCTGTGGCACAAAAGGATTAAGTAACTTTCCTGGTGTTCCATGACTGGTTCATGGTGGAACCAAGATGTGAATCTGGGCTTCTGGCTCCTGAGATCCTGCAAGAGTCCGCAGTAGGTGCCTCCAACAGTGGAATGTTCCAGAAGGCACCAGCCCCAGGCCCTTCTGAGGAGTCAAAGAGGCCTGCTTGATGGCCCGGCACAAGACCTTCAGTGTGTCTCCAGTCCCTGGGTGTGCGTTTTCTCCATCAGGGAAATCTGGGAGGCAGCCTGCAGGGCCATCTGTGGGCGCCGCTCACCACAACTGTGTGTTCACTGCCCTTCGGTGCTCACTGCCCAGAGGGGCCAGCTGTGCAGTGCTCGGGTGCCAGGATCGGCCACACATGCACGCTGTGGCTCTGGTTTGTTTTCTGGATCTGGGTGTCCTGGGAAGGGGGGTGAAAACACTTTTTCTGTGTCATTTTCAGAGAAAAATGAAACTATACAGTTAGTTCTTTCCCAGCGGTACTTAATAAGCATCCCCTCAGCAATTACCGTGTGCCAGCTACAGTCTGAGGGCCTTACATGTATCAACTCCTCCCCTTCTCACCACATTCCTCTAAGAAAGCAACCATCATCATCCCCGTTTCTCAGGTTGGGAAGCCATGGCCCAGAGGCCAAGTGACTGCCCAGCATCGCCTGGCTGGGAAGTGGTGCAGGTGGGATTTGAGCCCAGCTGGTTTGATGCCACCACCCTCGTTCTTAAGCTTTGGGCAAGCAGCTGGGCCTCCCTGAGCCTCGCTTTCCTCTCTGAGATGGGGCTCACACCTGCCCGTAGCCCTGAGGACTGCAGATGAGGGTGCCAAGGCCCCGGCACAAGGAGCTGCTGTCGCTAACACCAACACAGGAGGTGTAGACGCTTTGCTTTACTCCTCAAAACAGAAATGGGAAGAAGAAGAAACAAACAAGGCCGAATTTCCAGAGGCCAGTTGCCCTGGGTAGAATGAAACCTTCCAGCAGGGCTCTTTGTGATGCCAGTGAAGTAAATGGCTCCTGTGGGCACCCCCCACCGCACACACACACACAGGAGGACGGGTTTTCTTAATGCCCCGTTGCTGATGAGCGCTGTCAGGTTATTTTGTGTTTTCCTGGGTGACAAACGCAGGAGTGGATCACTGTGCGGAGCAGGACCACGGCTGTGAGCAGCTGTGTCTGAACACTGAGGATTCCTATGTCTGCCAGTGCTCGGAAGGCTTCCTTATCAATGAGGACCTCAAGACCTGCTCCAGTAAGTCCCCCTCTATGCTTCTCTTCTACAGAAAAGCTTTGCAACAGGAGTGAAAATATGGCTGCTGCAGAGGAGGGCAGTTCATGGTCCTGTCGTTCCTCTGCTCTTTTCTGTGCTCCGGGAGATGGTGGGGGGTGTCCTCTGGGGACTGCATGCCTTTGAGGGGTGGGGTAGCAGACTTCATGACTTTGTGGGGTGAGGGAGGGGAGCTAGACAAGACTGTGGTCACTTGATTGCCATCATCAGTAGCCCAAAGGCTTACTGCCGACCTCACCTGGCTGTCTGGCTTTGCAGGGGTGGATTATTGCTTGCTGAGCAACCATGGTTGTGAGTACTCCTGCGTCAACACGGACAGATCCTTTGCTTGTCAGTGTCCTGAGGGACACGTGCTCCGCAGTGACGGGAAGACTTGTGCCAGTAAGTGATCTGGGTCCAGTGACAAGCGGGACTTGGCACGGGCCGTCTGTGGGTTTCGCTAGGCCTGTGTGAATGGGCATTAAGGCCTCGTTCAGTGCTTTGAGCCCTGGTGCTTCTCCCCCTGCCCCGGAGCTTCCTTCCCCTACTCCCCAAGACAGCTTTTTCCTACTTCTACAGCGTGCCTCAGGGTCATGTTGAAGCTGGACAGAGCCCTATTTCTTGCCTTTCTCTTCTCTACCCCTAAGCCGGCAGAAAGTGGTAGCCAGCCTGAGATGCACAGTAGTCATCATGCAGACCCCTTGTTGAGTGCTGACTTCATGCCGGGCACTGTGCTAAGCACATGCAACCTCAGGCTCTGGCAATACTGTGGAATCTCCAGCTTGCGGTGAAACTGCCGCTCAGATTAAGTAAGGAGCCCAAGGTCAGCCCTGTTAAAGGGGTGGGTTCAAGTTCTGGTCTATGGGACTCCAAAGTCAGTCCTGGGAGAAGGGGAGGCTCCTGAGAAACCTTCCCTCCCGCAACCTCATAATCTATCGGCAGATGGAGAGCTTGGCAGTGATGTTTCCTGGGTACATATATCCTTGCAGCTGGCCCCAACTCCTGTCCCGTTAATTAAAAAAAAAAAAAAAAATGGCCCTCAGATCTCCCTCTCTCCTCACTCGAGAACATTGTGTTATCTGCCCTGCAATCCCAGTGGACTAAGGTAAAGACTGAAAAAATAGTCATTTTGACAGAAGGCGTCAGAAATGGAGGGAAAGGACCATAGTCTTCCTTTCCCACCCTGCTGGTCTTTCTGGTTATAGGGCTAGCTTCCCTGACTACTGATACAATGGTGGCCACAACCTACGTTATCCACCTTTTAATATTGTCCATTCGCAGGGGCGGGCGAGCTAAGGTGTGCCCCTCTCTGCAGACCATGAAAAAAATATTTCCCTAGCTTGCAATAGATTCTGGAGTCTCGGCGAATGGGTTATCCCTGTATGGCTGGCAGCCTGCTAGCTGCGTCCCGGATGGCTACCGCCACCAACACCGGAAGGGTGTGGGCACTGGGGACGCAGAAAGAGGGTGGACGTGTGGAATTGCATCTACATGTGACTGCATGCCAGAGCCAGATGCTTGGTTTTTTTTATTGGTTTGCTTTAATTTTCCATTATCTTAGATCATTCATGCCCTTCCTTTGTCCCCCCGCCCCCCTTACTGGGATCATCATGAAGAGCTGACTATTAGCTGGCTGGCGGACTTCTAAGAAATTCTCACGGCCCTTCCCAACACACACTGTCCCTTACAGCTGCACGCCCCTGTCCCTCCTCCCCCCGGTCCACACGAGTGACGCCACTGACACTTTTAAATGTTGCACATTTTCCCATTTGAAGTGCAGTGCAATCAGAGGTGAATTTTGATGTGTATATATTTACATAGGGTTGTGACTCTGTGAAAGCTTCTGAGATGATCAGATAGGTCAGAATTATCCTCTGGGAATGGTGGTACCTAAGAAATGAATTTTACTCACCAGGCAATACATAGGCATTGAACTGTTCTAATTAAAGGCTGTCTGTCTGCCCTGGGATGATTCAGCCTGGCTGCCCTGTCCTGTAATAATGGGCTTTGTTTTCAGCATGGCCATCGTTAACTGGGGGCTATGTTTCTCAGCTCTATGCCAGATGACAAAGATTCTGACCACATGACTCCAAATTTTGGGGAAAGCCTGCTGGGCTGGGAAGGGGGGAGCCTGCTGGGGGCCAGCCAGGCCTGGCTCAGTGTGTAAGGGTGTCCTTCACCCTTCAGAAAGGCAGCCTCCTCTTAGAGCCTTGATAGCAGATGGCCTGAAGAACACTTCACTCACTTTCCAGAAAATTCTCTGAAGCATGGAGAGCAGACCCATGTTCCCAGGGCCCTGGAAGTAAGTGGACATTGTTACCCCCATATGCCTGCAGGCACCTTGGGCTCTCTGGCCTCTGGGATGAAGCCCATCATCCCTTCTTCATGTCCTTGGCCCCCAAACTGTGATTGTAGGTTCTCCCTAGGAGCCTTCTTGCGTTGGGGGTTGATGCACAGACTGGAGGCTAAGGTGGGGAGGGAAATGGAGTAGTCTCTTCTACAAGCTGCAGCTGAGAGACCTCCTCCCCTCGCCAGCTCCTGGTGATTTCCCTGAGGTAGACCTTTTGCAAGGGCGTCCCAACATCAGGAAGATTCCTCCGGCTGGATGTGCACAGAGCACACTGCCCACTGGCCTGCCAGCTCCTGGGGCTTGAGACTGGGTCTTGTTTGGAGTCAGAGTCCCCAGGCCTGGCCCACAGGAGATGCTCAACAAGGTTCATTGAGTGAGTGAGTGAATGGTCAGAGACCACCTGTCTTTTTCTCCTGTGACACCTGGCACAGACTCCACTCCCTACCCAGCAACCTTCAGTGGCTCTCCACTGTCTCCCAAAATAAAGTTCCAGTTGCGTTTCTCAATTTGGCAGTGTCAGAGAACCCCTTCCTCCACCTCTTGAGCCCCACCCCAGGTCTTCCACGATCCCTCCAGTTCCTCAAGTGGGTAAGTCCCATTATTCTCTGAGCGGCCACTGTACCTCCACCCTGTCCTTTCTCCACTTAGCACAGCCTTCCTTTCCCAGCCTTGCAGACAGAAACCCCGCCTGTGGATGATATTCCCCGTGGAGAACTTCCTGCTGCCAGCCAACTGGGACCTCCTCTTCTGCCCTCTCACTCCGTGGTACCCTTTGCACAGATCTGAGAAATAATGTGGCAGAGCCGAAAGAATACTGACCTAAGAGCCCAAAGACTGGGTTTAAATCTTGTTGCTTCCACCCTGGGCAAGAGAATTGACCCTTTCTGGATCTGATTGCTCAACTGTCAACTTGGGACGATTTCTGCCTCTCTGTCAGGGTTGCCAAGTGGCACAGGGAGAGACAAAAGTTGAAGTGCTTTGGGAACTTGTAAACTGCCCTAGACCCTAAGGTACTCTTTTGTGGTCTTTCCTCCCACCGTTAGACTGCCCTGCATTGAGGAGAAGGCTGAAGTAGCACTTTGCCTTGCCGCCTGGAGACCTACTTCCCAGGGCTGGGCCTGCTTCAGTTGGAGCAGCCCTAGAGATGGGCCACCCTGGGAGAGGCCAGACTCATGATCCCCCAAGGCAGCTGTCAGTCTCTGGCAAGGGCAGGATGCTGACGGGAATCTGGGCCACAAGCCACAGAGCACTGGGAATCCTAGTCCAGCCACCACAGGCGGTGGAGGCCTGTTGGGGCATGATGCCCTCCAGCTTGACTTTGAAAGGCAGAAACAGCCCTGAGCAAGGCAAATGGAGTGTTGTAATCTGCTCAGGCTGCCATAACAAAACACCAGGGGTTGGGTGGGCTTAGACAACAGCAATTTATTCTCTTACAGTTCAGGAGGCTGGAAGTCCAAAATCAAGGTGCCGGCAGGGTCATGTTCTGATGAGAACCCTCTTCGTGGTTTGCAGATGGCTGCCTTCTTACTGTGTCTTCACATGGTGGTGGGGGCTGGGGGGACGAGAACAAGCTCTAAGGACCCTAATCCCATCATGGGCTCCCCACCTCATCTAAACCTAATTACCTCCCAATGACCCCGCCTCCAAATACCACCACACTGGACGTTCGGGCTTCAACATATGAATTTGGTAGGGGGAGGGGGACACAATTCAGTCCATAGCAGGGAGTGAGGGGAGAAGACCACCTTCACCCTCACCTACTCACATTACAGAAACAGAAGGAAGCTTCGAGGTCTTCCGTTTCTTTTGTGGGAAACAAGCACAGGAAGGAAACTGGCACCTCAAGCTGGCCCCGAGGGTCAGTGGAAAGGTCAGGACTAGAACCCGGATCCCCTGATTCAGGACCTCGTGCCCAGAGAGTGAGGTGCCCTCTAAATGGACGTCTCCATTCAGCTGTTTTTTTGGGTCGTCTGAGCAAAAGCCATTACAGAGTTAGCAAATGATTGGCTGCTGCTAGTTTTATTATAGGAAATGCCCGAAAATGGTGTAATTCCATCTCTGGGCCCTCGTTACCCTCTTGGCAGGCCACCTCCCGCTGGGTCGGTTTTAACAACCTCCTACGTGGAGCCGCAGACTCAGGATTGCCGTCTGTCATCACCCAGAGGTGCGAGTCCGTGGAACGCATGAGCCTGGGATAGCTGTGCCGCAGACCCCCGTGACTCACGGGGTGTGGGATTCAGATGGGAGCGCAGCAGTTCGTCAGCATGTGGGGCGGCCACACGTGGGTCCCAAACACCCCTGCTCTGTCCTCAAACCTGTAATCATCCTGATCACAGATTGTAGATCCCATTCAGGACAGGGGTTGAATGAAAGCTGTGGACCTGCCTCCCTTAAGGAGGAAAGAAAAGGATTCTTCTCCTGGAGGGAAAATGTGTTCTTCGTGCATCCTGAGATTTTCATACCTCCTTTCATCCGTTTCATTTAAGTGCTGGTTGCCAGTAGTTGGTCCTCACTCTCGTCTCTGCATTTGAGTCTGGGCACTTCCTTAAGCTCTCGGTCCGTTTGCTCTCTTTCTCCACAGGTATTTACCCTGTACCTGCAGCGTTCTGGGCACGTCGTGCTGGGCACTGGGCCTCCCTGCCTGGGGTTGATGCCAGTTCCGTTTCTGCCCTGACAGGGTTTCAAGTTTCTCAGGGAAGAAAGAAATTAAAAATCTTTCATGTGATGTGGGAAGAAGAGGTGTGGCAGGAACATGGGGTAGAGGGACCCTCAGCTAGTCCAGAGAAAGTTTCCTGAGAAAGAGGTGGTTGATCTGACATCTGGAGATTGAAGGAGTGAGCTAGCCAGAGATGGAGGGTATGATGGACTGAACGTTGGTGTCCTCCCAAATTCGTATGTTGACATCCTAATCCCCAAAGCTGATGATATTAGAAGGTGGGGCCTTGGGGTAATTAGGTCATGAGCGTGGGGCTCTCATGAATGGGATTAGTGGCGTAATAAAGGAGATCCCACAGAACTCCCCCCACCAGTCCCTTCCACCATGTGAGGAGACAGGGAGAA